AAGCTCAGAGTGAGCTGCTACACTGTCGTCATCTTAGCAGTACCTGACTCCGCCCCCTTACTCCCAGCTAATCCAAAAATGGTCAAAGAGGAGGGACGTGCCAGTTTGTGGCAAACATAAACTCACCCACCTGTCACTCAAAGAGGCCACGCCCTTAATCCTCCATAACTGTAGTCCTTGATAAAATGTAAACAGGTGAGTTATATAAACAACAGTCATGAAGGAGGAAATTATCTCTAGAGACCAAAACAGTTTTTGTACCAGGCTGTAAACATGTTGATTTCTGCTGTAAAGTTGGACATTTTAACATGGGAGTCTATGGGGACTGACTCACTGTTGGAGCCAGACTCTAGTGGTCGTTAGAGGAACTGCAGCTTCTGGTTCTTCACTGTTGATGCTTCATTTTTCAATATATATTTTCTTATCTTTTCTTTTTTTTCTGCTTTGAAATGCAGATATCTTCTTGCACACCTGGGTTAATGTACATCTCTTCTTTCAGATTGTAAAATACTTATGGAAAATTCTATTGGATCCATATTGTTTAAAAAAAAAGGGAAAAAGAAAAAGGATGTTGAGTCAGGAACTGTTCTCCAACATACTGTTCATTTGCTGCAGACTTCTGATACTTTATAACTGTGAGGTTTTTTCTCTGTAACAATTATCCTCTAAATAAAGAATCACAAAAACAGATGATATCACTGTTGTGATTACAGCTTGTTCCACTGCCCTCTTCCTTTTAACAGCAGTGTGTCGTGCTCTCATCATGTAAGGACGACAATGACTCACAGTTCAGACCATCTACACAAACATCTTTACTCTCTTTACAGAACTTTAAAGCTCATGTGTGAATCTTGGAAAACACGTGTAAATACTGTCTGCACCATGCTCCCTCTGCAGCCAGTGGGCTGGAAATAAATGCATATATACTCACACACTGCAATCTGGTCCCATGTTCTCTTAACTAACACAAACACACACACACACACACACACACACACACACACACACACACACACACACACACACACACACACACACACACACACACACACACAGGAAGTGGGAAATGAGAACAGGAACATTGGGGTCTGGATAAGCTGCACTCTGATGATCTCTTTCGGCTGCTTCATGGGTCGAGCAAGGGTTAACTGCCTCACTGAACCCATGAAGTCTATACCGCTGTGTATGTGTGTGCGTGTGTGTGTGTTTGCAAACAGACTGATAGCCAAGAAGAGAACATGGAACCATATTGCAGTGTGTGTGTATATGGTATAGTGTGTATTTACACGTCTGTTAAGCCGTTAGTCATGAGCTAATGGGGCCAGAGCAGCGTCTGTCTGTGTGTGTGTGTGTGTGTGT